TGATATATGGCTTACGATTGGGGGAGGGAAGGTTCTCCATTCATCTACTTAATAAACAGGTGCTTCTCGATTGTCGCTCACATGCGATGATTATGGTCTAGCCACCTTACTCACTGGGCTGCACTCGTGCTGGAATGAGGAGGGGAGCTTGTCCGCCTACCTTCAAAAAATGGAGTAGGTGGTCCTCACGCCTGGGAAGCTCCTCAAATCAGTTTATATCCCCTATGATGTCATTCCCTAATTAACCAAATGATACAAGGGCTTGCTGATGAAAATAAATACTCTGAAACCAATAGCTCTCATTTTTACTTAGATTAATATATTAAATCAAAGCAGAACAAAACTCACTACAATAAGAGTCGAGCAATGTCCCCACCTAAGTCTGATAGGTGCATATTAGGAAGGTTTAAGTGATGTCTTAACTCTATTACATAGCAAGTGCCAAGGCACAAAGTGGTTCTCCTCAGCAGGTCACCCGCTCCCTGCTGTGTTGCTGGAGATTGCACTGAACCCAGGGCACATGTCAGGATCCTTTTCCTTCAGTGACTTAAAAAAATAATCGTAAATAAAGTCTGGACAAAAATCCCTAATCCTCATCTCCTTAGCTGTACGTCCCATTATTCTGAGTAACTGACATGTGTGAAAACACTCTGTTTCAATGCAGTTAAACCTCTGATTCACAGGGAACAGTTTTTAAATGGTTCACACAATTCTTATCAGTCAGCTGGGTTTGCATAAAGGAAATAGAAGCACGAAAACCTAATCTCTCCGTCTGTGAAAAATCACCACGTCTCCCTGATTGGAGGAAGAGCAGACCTCGGGAAGCCTTTCCTGCAGATTTCCACCATTTCCTGGCTGTTTCATTTTAATCACACAGTTGAGCTGATCTATTACTTCATGAGTTTCCCGGGCAAGGCTGGGCGTTACTGATTCATGTCTTAGGAAAGCCAGGGGCAGATACTCCCATCACCAGAAACTGGTGTTGCAAGCACGCTATTTGCACACAGTAAGATGGACTTCCTTGCTGGAGTCAAGTAGCACAGTTTGGGGAAGCAAGTAATGTGTTTTGTTTGTTTGTTTGTTTTATTGGTTTGCTCTATTTTACCCTTATAAAAGAACAGTATCAGAGTTCAACTCAGAGAGAAATGAGGAAAACTAAAAATGAGCAGGAAGGAGACCATAAAACCACCCAGGCTGGTCATTCAGGGAATCCTTTTATGGTTAGTGGCTGTCTGTTGACTGCATTCTACTAGGTCATTATTCTTGGGGATAATTCATCTCACAAATTGACACATCATCAACAGAAAGTATGCAGCCTTCACAAGAGAAGTGCTGGGTAGGAAACGTGTGTTATAGCTGTTCTTCCTTCTTGCTATGTACAGTTTGTATGTTTTCCTTTCAAGCTTTCCTGATTGAACACAGACTTTATGAGATTTATATTAGCTGGACTGTAGAGGAAATTTACCCATGTCTGAATAAAGCAGATGATCACGATGCAGCTCTTGGGTTAAAACTAGCTCTTGTTATACTGGCTTACTTAGAAACGAGAGAATATTTAGGGTATATAGTTGGCAATAAACTAACCAAAAGAGACTAAAAGATGTAGTCTGGCCATGTAGGCAGGCAGGTAAGTACACACACACACACACACAATCATCTCATTGAGGTATACATTATATACCACCCAATGTATCTTTTTAAGTGCTTTTTTCCCCCCAATAACTTTAGCCTTGGACCTTTAGCCACATGAGCCTCACAGAGACCAAAGATATCAGGGAGAGCTCCTTGCTCACCTTCCTTCATACAGAGAAACTGAGCTATCCCACCTAGATGTCAGTGGTAAAGTGGGGAGGTGATGCTCAGTTTGGAGGTGCTAATAAAAACCAGCCCATTGATTGCCCATTATGAATAGAAGCTCACCCTTTTGTGAGGAGGGGGAGGAAACACTTTGGGTAGCAGCCCGTGTATAGACACCAGCCCTGGGTTCCTGACCTGTTGAAAATGAACATCCAACTGCTGGCTGCAGAGAGTGCAGGAAAGGAAGTGAAGGGGAGATGTCTTTGGAACAGTGGTGTTAAGGAGGATAAAGGGAAAGGGGAGGTGGGGGGTGGTAGAGGGGGCAAAGGGGGGATGAGTGGTGGTGGAAGGAGACTTGGGGTGGTGAACACACAATACAATATATATTGATGATGTATTATAGAATTGTACAATTGAAACCTATATAATTTTATTAACCAATGTCACCCCAATAAATTTAATAAATAAAAGGAACAAAAGAAGAAAGGAGAATAAAAGGCTATGTTGGATGAAGACTGAGTTTACTGAAGAGTGAGAATCTGAGGTGTTTAAGTAATTCTGACCAATGTTAACATCTGGGTTCTGACAAATAAAATTTATAAATTACTTTTTCAACCACTTCCTCCAGCAACAGGAGCTGTTATTACCACATTGATTTTAAAATTAAATGTTATGCAATTTTCTTGCTTTAATGAGAAGGCAGATCCAACTGGTAAATAAAGTAATGATTGAAGCAATTAAAAGAGTGAAAATGAGAAACAAAGTAACAACACCTTTAATGCTTAACTCAAACTGGCAGATTTTGATGATTTACTAAAAAGATTCATGTTTATCTGGACGTAAACATATTGTGAAGCAATGCTCACTGTGAATAAACCCTCCCATTGGTAAGGGGAAAAGTCAATTAGTAACGTCATCTGTTTAAAAATCTCCCTGCACCTGGTTGTCATTTGTCCTCTAGCTGGGAAACCAAAGACAACTTCTTTTTATTGCTTGTGGTCAAACAGCAAGTTCGTTTTCGCCATGGGATGATCAAACGGCCAGCCTCCCCAGCTTGGGAAGGTTTGCCTTTCACTTTCAACTTGTTCAATCATCATTAACTCTGAAAAATGTCACATTCCATTTGTGCAATGAAAATTTCACCACCCGCGACTGTTTGGGTGAAGTTTTTGTAGGCAAAGCCCTAAATCTTGCAGAGCACCTCACACATTCTCAAGGTCGTTTGTCTTGTTTCTCGTTTAATGGCAGTTGCCTAAGACCCTGGAGTCTGTCTGTGGCCTGACATAGGCAGCTTTGGAGAGACATCTGTGGGCGGATACGTTTTCCTCTCTGAGAATCAGTGGGTGCATTGGGTGTACTCGGAGGAAAATTAAGATGTGTGCACATGTGTACACACACACACACACACACACACACACACACTCCTTTGTTACATACTACCCACATATACCCTGGGATTTTTTTTTTATCCTCACTCGAGGACATTTTCCCATCTTTTGTTCAGATAGAGTGGGAGGGAGAGAGAGAAAGAGAGAGAGAGAGAAACATCGACGTGAAAGGGACACATCGAGTGGCTGCCACCTGCACGACCAACCAGGGTTGGGGACAAACTGCAACTGAGGTACGTGCCCTTAGCGGAAACTGAATCCGGGTCTCTCTGGACCACAGGCTGACGCTCCAACCGCTGAGCCAAACTGGCCAGGGCTACCTTGGGATTTTTACTGAGCAAAAGCAAAAGTCTTCTTTACTGGGGAGACACTGGTAAAGAGGGCCGCTGGATGCAGCCCATGAGAGCAGGGCTTTCTGACTCTGAGAAGCTGGCTTCCCCGGGGAAAATGCCTTATCAACTTGGGGAAGATCCAAAAAGTTTCTAGAAAGGAGAAATAGGCTTCTTTTTAACTTTTGCCATTGGGCTTCTATTATGTAATTACATTTCGCTCTGCAGAGCAGTTCTGACGTGTCAATCCCAGTGGATGTGGCAGAGGGCCAAATCCCTGATGGGCACTCTCTAAATATGAATTCCTGAAAGTGGCTGTCAAGCAGCAAGACGGCTACATTAAGAGGTCACTTGATCTAGAGTCTTAAAAAAAAAGCACAGAGTTTATTGGGGCAAGTCAAATAAATTTGCGCCATTTGGCAAACAGATCATAGCTCAAACAGGCCTCAGTTACAGGTCCTGATTAAAATTTCAAGGTCAAACCCTAGAGAATCTATATATAGAGCTCTCCGGAGCCTTGAGTGCCGAGGCGCTAACACACTGTTTTACATAGTCTCCCAGAAGGGCTTCTTGATTTCCAGCTTTAGTTTAATGCCCAAAGTTTGCTGGGTCAGCTGTTGACATAAGGAGGAGGTTACCAGTAAGTCTGGATTATAGGCACAGTGTCTTGGGTCTCTTTCATAATGTATTAGAATATTTATAGTTGCCAAGATCCAATTTTTAACTGGCTAGTAGAAATTGAGGGTAGGAGAGAGGACAGAAATAGTCCAATGATATTTCCCAATTCCCCATACAAGACCAGATCCCTGGTCTAAAGAAGAATCATGTGGTTCCTAAAACATGAAAGAGAATGCCCTGCCATTTTAACGGCTGAGTTGACAACACCACCTTTTAAGAAAAGAAATGCTAATATTAGGTTATTAGTTGAAAGAACTTGGGTAAAATTTCCTAGGAGAGATTAAAAAAAATTTTAAACACTTGTATTTGTACCCAATATTCTTCTAAGTGCTTTATAAACATTAATTCGTTTAATCCCCATAGAACTGCCAAGAGGTGAAATAACTTCCCTAAGGTCTCGGAACGATTCAAACCCCTGTGCAGCTAGAGTTTTCATAAGGGCCTCTCAGAATGTGCCCACTGGTCTGTTGCTTCAAGGTGGGCGGAGCGGGTACAAAGAGGAAAGGGATCTGCTGGTTCCACTTCATAGAGATAGAAAAATGAGATCAGGTCTCTAAACTTCCCCTTCTCCTCACACTGATGTCTTCTCCTGTCTCCACCTCGCAGAGGCCAACTTTCTCCTGTTGCTCCTGAACAAGCGAGTGAGCTGTCTCTGTGTGTGCTGGGCACATACACACTCTCACACCCACTCGCACACAGAGCTGTTACCGAGCCTCATGAAGCTGTACAGGGTTTGTGATCTGGGCATAAAAGCAGACATCATTTGCTCATTAGAGCTAAGTTTTCAGGACGTGCCCCAATTACTGACCTCCACTAATGGCCTGGGTTTGCGCTCGACTGCAAACCTGAAGTGGCAGAGTTCACAGTAGCTGGTGTTTGAGGACGACAGCCAGTGCTCCAGGCAGCTCCGGTGGATTGTCCCCAACGTCCCCGTACATTCACACGGAGAGAGCAAGTCCTCTTGGCTGCTGCCCTCGTGGCAGATCCTGCACATCGGCCGGTCATTGAAGGGGCTGCAAGAGAAGAAGGGACACCGGCTGGTCACTGGGCTGGGAACCACTTGCACGTGGATAGTCCTCTGGCTCCGTGTCCTTCAGGGCCTCCCCAGTGGCCGCTGCTCAGAAAGACACCTGCTTTAAAACCCTAGGTCTACATTTGTACTTGGCAGTGGGGGTCAGTGCCATGGTCCTTGATCATCTACTTTTCCAATACAAAGAAATAGGGAGTGGCCTGGGCCAAAAGTGAGTGAAAACAAGCAACACGATGTTTTTGCCTTTGGTACAAGTGTAATTCAGGCAAACTGCCGATCAAAAAATGAAAACCGTATCTCACCATTAAGAACAGAAATTGTTTTGAAATGACGCTGATTGTAGTTCCTAGGCAAATTGCGGTTTTTGAACCCGGCCAGGGCACTTTGAACACCCAGAGGTTCCTTTCACTTCTCCTTTCCATAGGGTGGGGGGCTGAGATGACGGAAGTTAACTGGCTGCCAACCCTCAAGCTGACACACAGAAGTGCCATCCGAGCCACAGCACAAAGCTGAGTAGTAAATCCGTCCTTTGAACTTTCCTAGGATGCTTTCTGGTATGCTAAGGACACTTCGCTGAAAGCAAGTAACGAGTGTGTTTTACTGAGGTGCCCTCCGGCTAGAGTTATGCCTTTAATTTGGGAAAATCCCCCTGCACATCTCATGGCGGTGCCCAGGACAGTGGTTCACGTGTAGGCTCTGGAGTCCAGATGCCTAGGCTCCGACACCAGCTCTGCTGCTTACCAGCTGGCTGGCTTTGGACAAGTAATATCATCTCTCTGATCCTTACTTAGCTTCCTCATCTCTAAAATGGGCTCATCGTCCACCACTCTCTGACACCATCTTTGGTCCAAATGCAAACAGCCAGGAAAACACTGCTGTTTCCCATAGGCCTTTCTGGGGATGACCCTGGGAATGAGTGAAGGCTGAGAGGGGATTAAAAGAGAAAAGGGCCTTTGCTGGTTTTGCTCAGTGGTTAGAGCATCAGCTGGTGGACCAGAGAGTCCCGGGTTTGATTCCCGCTAAGGGTGCGTACCTTGGTTGCAGTTTGTCCCTGCCCCAGTTGGGGTCATGTGGGTGGCAGCCAGTCGATGTGTCTCTCACATCGATGTACCCCCCTCCCCCCACTTTATCTGAAGATAAATGCAAAATATGTCCTCGGGTGAGGATGAAAAAAAAAAAAGAGAGAGAGAAAAAGACTTCCTCACTTGCCCAAAAGATTTGACTTTTCTCACTCATTACTCTTGGCCTTCTTCATTCACATTGAGCCACTTGCTTGAAAATTCTGAAACTTTTTAGTTTACATTGCTTTGTGGTAGGAGAACATGTAAAAACCACACACACACACACACGCATGTGTGTGCATGTGCACAGTGGCTCACGAGTCTGTCATTTTACCTTTGCAGCCTTCACTTCCCGATCAGCCAAGGTGTTTGATGGCAGCAAGGGTGACAGGTGCACATCAGCTATCTGTCTCAGTTTGCAGATAAGCAATGATGCTCACTGCCTCATCCTATTCCGAGTCCTGATCAATTGTTAGAAGCTTTTCAAGAGGTACAAAAATATATGTTGGCTTTTTTCCCTATGTCTTCCCTTTGCAATAGCAGCACAAATTGAAAGTACATGGACGATGCTTGCAACATATTTGGGTGTGTGAGTCCACATCTGGTGGACACCATGTCCAGGCGGGGGGCAGCAGGAAGAAATGTGGTGGTGTCCCAGGAGTCTGGCTGCAGGGACATGTTCAGATCTGTGGACCTGTATCTGCACTGGATAGGCTGACTAAATTGCTCAGACCAAGGTAAGCGGTCAAGGTGTGAGTCACTGACCCAAACTTCAGGGTCAGAAATGTCAGCACAGATATCAGGAGGCAAATCCAGTGCTGATCTACATGTTCTATTCATCAGTCAAAGTCCCACTTACCTATTCTGAAAGAAAGCTGGAGAAGCCAAGGTGTACTTACTGGCCAGGCAGCCTGTGGCTCTCAATCTACCACTGGGCAGCAACAGCACAAGAAGAGACCTCCGGGGACAAAGTGCTGGCCTGCATTAGCCATCCCTGGGCTGCGAAAGCCTTTAGCTTTGCTTTGGTTCATCACTCAGGGGAGACAAGCTGTGGGGGTTTAACAACAGTATAGTACACAGGGCAGGTGTGTATGAAGGATCATGGGTGGGGGCCCATGAGGAGCAAAGGAGGGAGCAATAGAAGAGGCCCTCAGAGAAGAGACTCGCCCAGGAAGATGCCCTGGTCGGCGATCCTATCAGGCAGTGCTGATTGGCATGCACACCAGGAATATCACTTTCAAAGTTTTGCCCACAAATCCAATTACTTTGGCTCAGTCACCTGAAATCAGGTGCCTCCTTCATTCTATGCTAACAAAGGGTTACCTTTGTCAGTGCCTGGGGACAATGAGTGTAATTACTGTTGCAATATCAAAATAAATGTAAAGCAAGAAACCTTGTGTCTTGTGGAATCCTTCCCTGCCTGGCCCTCTGCAAGGGTGACTTTAAGTGGAAAACTGGACAATGTGAATTTTAGCTTTGTACCCTATTGCTATAGAAATAGAACTGTGTAGTCTTCCCCACCGCCGCCCCAATACCTCCTCTCACCTGACACAAAGACCCGAGCACTAACTACATTCCCTTGAGCATTTTCCATCTGACACATTCATTAGGATCAATTACACCTTCATTTATTTTAATTTTAACTGTGGTACTACCTCTGGGTGGCAAGAGTCCGCACTACTGTTGAGAGCAGCTGCCCGTCCTTGGCCGAAACTTGCATGACATACTGTGGCTGCCCATTCACTAGGCTGCCACAGTCCTCCACAGTCTTCACCACGGGCACAGCCGAGCTGGTGCAGTCTGGCAGCACTTCGGGCAGGTGACTGCAGCGGCTGGTTGTCATGGTAACAGACAGCAATTACTCTGCTAATGGCTTCCACATTCATACAGGATTTCCATCTAAGAGAGATGAGAAAACAGTTTACTTGGGCAGGGTGGTTAATAGGAAATAGAGAATTACAGCCTACCAACATCATCATGTCATTATTTAATATAAATAACAGGGGTAGCCTAGACGTGGCTCGTTATCTTGTTGCCATTTAATATGCACACGCGCACACACATGGTCTGCAAGAAACAGCGGACATGGTTGCGAACAAGACAGCGAGCATGTCAGTGTACATAAACATCTAGGATCCTTGCTCTGGGAGAGGGAGGGACGATGGCCCCAAAGCCAGATCTGAAGAGGAGATAAGCAGTTCTCCCGCTCTGCACCAAAGAAGCAATAAGTCTTTGTTGACACTCTATAAAAGTTACTAGAATCATGATCACTGATCGCAACTATTTTTTCTTGTAAGCAATTTATCCTCTACACAGCTTCATTCTGAGACGCTAAGATTAAAAAAAAAAAAAAGAGAGAGAGAAAGAAAAAAATAAAAACAAATCTGGCCAAGTAGCACCTTGCAGGACAATATTTGCCGAACATGAGTCCTCCAATTAACGTGCCATCATTATAGTTTTTGCCATATCAGTGTTCATAATACAGTTATCTACTTATGTTTTGAAGATTAACTTAACTTATTTTAGTTTTAAGTTATTCAAATGATGAGTTGGATGATCTTGTTACATTTTTTTCCCTAAAGGACATTACAATAAATACACTGGTATTGAGTTTTGTTTATTTATGTGCTACCTAAAATCCATGGACACTGCTTCGTCATCAGGGAACACATAGGAGATGGGAAGAAACTGATGAATAAGATCTCTATTGCCTATTAAAAAAGAATCCATTAGTAATGACAGCCTTACCTCCCTTACCTGCCAGGAATTTTGTTTCTGGTCTGTGTGGTATGGGCTTGAACTTGACCTCAAGCTCAAAGTAGTGAGGCCTACTGGGGTGAGGAACACCACTACATTCAATATTAAGTCTGCATGTGAAGTGTAAGAAATAGAGGGCTTTATAGAAACTGGCAGGAGGAATTATTTATGTCTAAAGGTGAGATGACAGTTTCACTGTCCATACAGACTATTTCTGCTCAGCCTGCTCACCTCAAGCTCCTGAGCCCAACACGACCTGGACTGAGGCAGTGTTGGGTGACAGACTGAGTTCATGGTCAATAACTAGTCTGGTTGGTCAAGGCCCCATGTCTAAATGAATCTTCCCCCCAGCCCAAAGGGGATTTTTAGAATTCCTCAAAAGGTTGTTTGCTCCCAGATATTTGTCTCTACTTATTATACTTTACTTGACTCCTACAGTTCTGGAAAATAGGATCTTCCCAATTTCCAAAAAATGTGCATTGACTGGACATTTGTAGGATGAGAACACAATGTTTCCAGATGAACTGAGCTGACACTGTCCCTCCCAACAAGCACATGTCAAGTAGACCTGACTGCCAGAGACAACTGGATGGGAATGGGATCCTTCCTTGTTGCAGAGGTGTCTGGCTCAGCATGCTCCCTTTCCTGTGTTCCTTGGCTGCCATGAGTCCTCTCAGGGTCTGCGGTCTGGTCTCTCCCAGGAGCCTTTTGGAACCTCACAGTGGGAAGAGGGCTGTGAGCACCAGCCCTGTTCCAAGGCTTGGCATGCGGGCAGAGGCAGGGCTGCCCCTTCCATGCCATTGTCATGACTCTGGTGGGCTTCTTCACCACCAGGTACTTCCTGAGTTTTAAGGAACATAATCAGATATTCAGCTGGCATAGTTTTACTTTTTAAATAGCAGTTGTTGCCTTTTTTTAAAGTGTTTTTATTAACATTACAAAACCAAGAAGTACATGTTATGAAAAGTACAGAAAAGCTCAGAGAAAACAATAAAACTAACTCATCATCCCACCACTCAGATAATCACAGTAAAATTTTTTGGGTGACTGTCTTTTTAATTTTCGGCAGAATTGGCAGGGTGGAGTTGATTTGCAGCTGGGGACAGATAACTTTTTTTAAAAACAGAGTTATGGTAGCTCTCAGGCCACAGAAAAAAAGAGATTCAAAGCCTGTCTCCTAAAACTGTGTCTATCCCACCCCCCTGGCTTGCCCTTATGAAACCCCACCGACATGATTTTACATTCTCGTGGTGCCTCAGTCACAGAGTGCGACTTCCTGGCACAGCTCTCTTGCTTCACAAGGCAGCCATAGATTAAGAGCCAGGGGTGTCTTGGCAGGAAAAGCAGACACAGTGACCTTCTTGCTGCATGGAATCATTATGTCTGGGTGCACTCTGAGAGTCTATTTTCGGGTTTTGCATAATTCCAACTCAGAGGGCCAAACGCTCCCTCCCTACACTTGATGGAATTGGAAGAAGGCAGAGAAGGGATGCACAGAGTGACAAAATGAGACCAGGGTTGGCAGTAGTTAGGTCGCTCAAGTTCATTCACTTAGAACCGAGACTAAGTCCTCATCAAAGGAAGTAGTTCCAAATGTATAACGTAAATTTGCAACAAAACGCCCTTAAGACAATCCTACAAGTAGAGCTTCCTTTAATCTTATTTTGTATCTGTAATTTGACTTCTGGATGCTGTACTTCAGTTCACTTCTCAGTTCATTCCATTCACGGTGGGTCCAGGCACTGAGTTGGGCATAAAGGACCTCAAGGCTCCCCCACTTGCCTTCTGTAAGCAAGCCCTGCAGAACCCTGAACCCAGCTTAGGACCCGACGGAAATGAGCCTCCAGTCCAGCACTCACTGAAGAACAACCAGCATATCCGTTGACTACCATGCACCAGAATAACCCTGAGACATTAAGACAGGCATAGTGAGTCCCCACATTTCTAAAAAACTGCCTCCCCCCCCCTTTTTTGCTCTACACCCCCCCAAAAGAACCCACCTGTGTCTAGAGTTGAAAATGGAGTGGGAGGAATCACACAGCACATGGGCACCTGTGACCATGGTGGGAAAGGTGAGCTGGTTTCAACTCCAGAAGGGTGACTGACCACCTACTCGGGTGGACGAGCTCAGGAGGCAGCGCGTCCTCCCCACTCTCAGTCACAAGGGAGCCCAGAGGCCTCCATCCAGACATGAGCAAGAGTGGGCTGCATGTACCAATTGGCATGAATACTGCACCTGGGACAGTGACAAATGGCCCACTGCATTTCCCTGTCTCATTCAGAGCCACCTGGGAAAACAGCAGGCTGTTGCCGTGGATGCTAAAAGAGCTGAGCTGTGGGTTTGTAGCCTAGCGCTGGTCTCTCACTGATCTTTCTATACAATTTCAAGCACCATTTGACCACTTTCTTATCCATACTGCTGCTCTTGTGAGAACATTTCTTTCTAGTCCGCCCAAGAATTCGGCTCTCTGGGATTTGGGAGGACAAAAACATGCTGGGAGGGAGTGGTGCCTGCATAAACTTGAAACTTCAAATCGCACCGGTAGGATGGGTCCTTTGTTGGCCAGACTTTACACCTTGATAATTTCTTACTCAGGCGGAGAATGAAACATAATTTGGCACTGGCCAAATTCAGCAGCACACAGTGGAAATAGGTAGATGAGAGGGAGACAATAAAAAAGGAGGAAGGGCTCAATAAAGGAAAGCCTGGTTAGACAAATGTAATGACAAAAGGACTGTCTGTTAAACTGTGACCCCTTTAAAGGACAGAGTGCAGGTTTTACAAAAGCAAGGACCCAACTAGGCTGCAGATGATCATTGCTGCATTTCTGAACAGGCTGCCACTGTAAGCGATTTCCATGGGAACATGTCTGGCATCATGAGGACGTGTCCAGAGGACAAGGGGGAAGGGAAGGGAAGTGAGCTCTGCTCACCCCTGCAGCCTTTTTGCCTCAGCAGACCCTGGAACCTCCATAAGAATCATGGAGTTATGGGAAAAAGATCTGTTTTTAAAAAATATATATATGTATTTTTCTTTATTGATTTTAGAGAGAGAGGAAAAGAGAGAGAGAGAGAGAGAGAGAGAGAGAGAGAAACATCGATGAGCGAGAACATTGATTGGCCGCCTCCTGCATGCCCCCACTGGAGTTTTGGCCCACAATCTGGGCATGTGCCCCGACCGGGAATTGAACTGGCGACCTTCTGGTGCATGGGTCGGCGCTCCACCACTGAGCCACACCACCCAGCGGAAAAAGGTCTGTTTTTAAAGCCAGGACACCCAAGCCTGTACCCTGGTTCACTATTCATGAGGGAAAACCACTCTGTCTCTCAGACTTTGCTGAGATTTCTTGCACATTTGAAATTAGGGTACTAATACTTCCTGGGCCACCTCTTCTGGTTGGTTGTGAGGCCTAAAATAGTATAATCCACACGAATGTGCTTTGTAAATTGGAACAAGCCACGCACAGAGAAGGCTGCATTTTTTTTTTTTTTTTTTTTTACTGTGTTCAACTTAATTCCTGCTCTTCTTCTAGTCTGGGCTGCATCTTGTTTCTGATCCCCTTGGCTGGTTGATTCCTAACACATTGCACCTTTTGGATCCCACTAGAGCCCTGCCAATGTGCCACTCCAGATCTCTCAGAGTGGGAGCACAAAGTGAGTCTCTTCCTTGCATACCCATTCTCCTTATCTCATTCTCCTTAGCCCTGTCTCCTTCATATCTCTGAGCACACGTTTCATTCTTCCATGAAAATGTTTAGTGAAAATCTATGATGAAAAACAACTAGTATTAGGTTTGAGATACTTGGGTCTAGTTGTTACAGCAGCTACCATTATCTTAGCCAGTTGGGCATATGATAAATACACTAGAAAATGAGCCTCTCCCAACTGTATTTTCAGGCCTGCTTCTATCAGAACTGTATTTTTAGTGCCAAGTCAACTTTAATCTCTTAGATACAGTATGAAAATGTTGTTTGGGGGACGAATCTGTGACGCTGGCATCTCTGAGTATAAAAATTACCCATGAGGCGCTGCCGGTGTGCCTCAGTGGTTAGAGTGTCGGCCCTCGAACTGAAGTGTCTGTTTTTTGTTTTTTGTTTTATCCTCACCCGAGGACATTTATCTATTTTTTTGTTCAGATAGAG